ATTATTTATCTCCTACTCCATGAATCTCCAGGTTGAGTGGAAAAAACTCTAGTCTTAAACCTGTTTCATATCAATCTTGAACCTGATGCCTTATACTGCCTTATAGATGCATACTTAAAAGATTATAATCTGTATGCATATGTATGTGGGAAGAATATAAATTATCTATAACTAGAGGGAAGATCATGGTGATTTTAAAACATGCTCACCAATTATTGAAACCTTCTGTCATTAAGAGAAGTCTAATTTACCTGACGCTGAACATGAGCTAATATGAATCACTAAAGTAACTCCCAATGAAAAGCCTATAATAGAGTTGATTATTATGTGATCTGAGACTAGGTGGTAGACTTTCATATGACTTTCTTCTCTTTGGGATATGTTCTCTAGAAACTTAGTCACCATATTATGATAAAATCCAGGTCACATGAAAAAGCCAATGTCATTCCACTGTTTGGCAGCATCAGTCAAAATCCCATGTAACATTTAGTTAGGCATGTAAGTGAAATATCTTTCTTCCTGAGAGATGACTTTAATCTCATACCTGTCTGATATGCAATGTTATGGACAGACCATCTGGTAAAGAATAGGCACATTTAGGAATAGGATGTCAGAATAGCAAGTCACTTTGAGAAGTTAAAACTATCAGTAATACATAACTGAATACAGGTAAAGTCTCTATAAAACTTTGAGATTTGTTGGGTTGGTGCAGAAAACAACTTGTCTTTTAGCCATTCAAGACAATATCCCATAAATTAATTCCCTATCATTAAAATTACTACCTACCAATTTGGAGTAGCCTGCCTCTTGCTTTTGCTCTCTGTACATGGGGATCAGTTTTAGGTTATACCTGGGATGCAACTGGGTATTGCCCCAGTGCAACCAAAATCCACAGGCAAAGAAAAAACATGAAATTTTACCTCCACAAGGTTTTTACAAAATGAAATTATTTACACAGGGATTACTTTAATCAATAACATGGTGGGCCACCAGGTGTATCAAGTAGTAGGGTAGTTTATCTCTAATCCACTCCTCAGTATTTGCTGCCATAGGAGAACAATGCAAATGGTTTAAAAAGTTTGAGAGGTGAGATAAATTTTTTTAAAAAAGCTTCCCAAAGTCAGTACATTGCTCAACTGGGAGAGTCAATTCATAATTAAATAACTATTATATCTGATTTGATTTTCATAAAGAGATGGATTCAGTAGATAAGGTGTCATTTACTAAACATACAAGATTCATTTAACCTGGAATACAATTGGATATTATCATATCAATAATTAAACAATCTTACTAGTAATCATATTATTTGTGTCATGTAAGTCTGTAAACCACACAAACTTCGTATTATTGGCAAGCAACCTAGGGAAATAATAGCATTGTTCTCATCATCGTGCCTCTTAAATAAAAGGATAGGGAGTTACATCGGATTGATGGAAAGTGTATGTTCTCAACATGTGAGAAGACAAGCTCCACACATAGCACCTTAAGCCTTGATCAATGTTTCTCAGCTTCTCACATTGGACCAATCCTTTTATAAAAGAATGGCTTTAAATATACATGTGGATTCTGGCCCTCCCTGGTGGTGCAATGGGTTAAAGCACTGCACTGAGAATCTAAAGCTGCTTCCGCTTGAGTTCGATTCCCACCTGCCCTGGAGGTGACCACATGGCGTGGCAGACCTCTCCTGACCCCCTCAGCAGTGTACTTCATCGATCTGCCTGTTCTGTTCCCCACTCTGTATCTGGTGAAGCCTCTCACCGCCCCTGAGCCTCTGGCCTGTACCCCAGTTCTGTATGCATAAATAAATAAACTTAAAAAAAAAAAGAAAAAAGAAAAAAATATATACATGTGGATTCTTTGTATTGATTCAAATAATTTTTAATTTAGCATTGCTACCATTTTTATTATGCTATCTCTATTTGTTGTCAAACATATTATAAATTATTTCTGAGGAAGCATTATTTAAATATCAACAATTAAAAAACTATGCATCAATGACTATATAATACTGATTAATGGCTTATAAATTTTACATATATGAGAACCTAAGCAAGTTAACTAACATAATTATAAACAAAAGTCAATCAAATTCTAACAGTAGACTTATGGGCTACTTCTCCTTGATGTAGTCCCTAGCTTTTAACCAGTTTTCTGGAACAAAGTAAAACATTTATTCACTTTAGAACACATCCTATCATTAAATCATAATGAAAATATATATATGTATGTATGTATTTTTTTTGAGAAGAAAATTCACTCGGCCCCTGGAATTTGACAGTAAGAATCTTCTGACTATATATTCAAAAAATTGTGTATTTGTCAAATATATATGGAATCAGGTGCATAAAAGACAGGCAACATGACCATGACAATAGGTAAGATTGGCCTCTTTTACATTCACTACTCAACTCAAGGAAAAGGTAGTCAAGATGTACCTCTATTCTCTCAAATATATTGAAATTACAGCTCTTAGTGTGGATAGTTACTAAGAAACAGATGAAAATGATGGTTCGTCATCAGTGGAGGCTTCATACCTCATTGAGAGTCCAAATGGGAACATGATCTCTGAATCACAGTATATTGTCAAACACCAAGTGATAGACTGTCTGCTACAAAATGACTGAATGATCAACAATGCAGATGGTTTCAGCAGCAGCAAAAGACATCTAGGTATATGTCAGTTAATATTTTAAACCATGCATATTATTTGAGAAGTCAGGTTTTATTTTTGAAGGGAAAGAAGTGTTCCATTGAATTGATAGATGAATTTGTTCTTTTCCAGTGCTGCATGAAAGCAGAAGATACCAGGAATTTGTACTTCAAAATTGTTTGGCACTAATTTCAATAGCTTAAAGGCTCCTTTGATGCATAGCTAATCAATAACTGCAGAATATGCAGAGCTCTTACAAAGGAGTTGTAGAATGGGAGAGAGAAACCATAAAGGAAAACACTTACCCATGGTCAAAGTTAAATTATCAAGATTAAACAAGTATATCTACCTGCTTTCTAAGGCTATCTAAAAAATGACTTCGATGCCTCCCCATCACAAATTTTATTATTTTAGATTATATATATTAGCTTTAGCTTCTCCATTTTCCCTGGGTATGAATAGTCAAAGAGTAGGGTAATAAAGATGACTAACAAATGTCTCACAGGAGTCATTTGTATACATCTCTTCCCCATCTTTATGACCATTAACATCACATTGGTAGCTCAAATTGATGGAGACTTTATAGCAGAGATGTCAGCAAACAACCATCTAGTTATCTCAGAACATAATTCAAAGGTATCATGAATTGTATCTGCTGGGCTGCAGCCCCCAAAAGACCCCATTTTGTTGTCTATATGTGGTTTCAACCTGGTCTCATTCATTCTGAATGATTAAAAGTAAAGGAAATCAGATGCATATAGAGTTTGTCTGCATTTCTTTTCTTATTGCAAAATCTTCCTTCTTGATCTACTTAAATCCATTCAGTGGTCCCTTCCAACCTACTGACCACACTATATTTAACAAGAAAGATAAGCCTGTATAAAGATGTTTAATGGCCTCAAATAAAAGGCAGGATCTCTGCCTTGCTAAAATGGGCTTCCTCTGCCTCCCTTACAGCCACTCCCTCCAGCACACATATACACACTGGATTGGCATTATGGCACTGACCGCCTCACCAGTAGTCATACAAGCCTTATTTTGATTCTTTAAATAGCCCATGTTATTTCTTGTTTCAGAGATTTTGCATATGCCAGACCTCATATGCGATAAGGAACTATATGAAAATCTCTTTTCCTGATAAGTCTTCCTTATCCTTTCCTCATGGTAGATTAGGGTCTCATCCCACACTCTCAGGGCTCATTCTGCTCTTCTTTGGGAAAGGGGCACTTTTTATTTTTGTATATGATGATATATAAGGAGCAGCAAGTCAGTCTTCTAGATTTATAAGCTTAGGACAGCATAATAGTATTTGATGTTTTCAGGTTTACGTGGTGAACAGAAGGAAGGGAGGGGAGTAAACTCAATCTATGTGGGACGTTCCTGCCCTAGGAGTTTTAATTTTCTACCTTAATATGGGCATTTTTTAAAACCCCACATACTTTAAGGACAGGAATTGTTTTCTTACAATTTATATTTTTCTCTGTTAAAGGGAAAGCATTAGCAGAATTTATTCAAATATATTGTTCTACTATGTAATGGATTTGTGAAAATAACATAATCAAAAAAGCTTGAAAAATCCAAGCAGGGTGATAAATTTGCAAATTTAAATTTTCCACACACTTTGATCCTGTATTTTTGCAAAATCTAATATCTGAAAAAAAAAAAAACACTAAGGTGTTAAAGATTAATAAAGCATAAATAGTATCTCGTTCAATTTCTAGCAGCTGTAACATTTAAATGTGCAAAATATCCTTAAGTTAAAAAACTCAACTGGTATTTCAATTTTGTGGATGTCAGTTTTGGTAATAAAATCATTCTATATGGTCAAATATATGAAACAAAACTTCTTGATTCTAAAGCAATTATCAAACAGTATCAACAGATAGCTTCTCTCTATGCCTGACTTCACTCATTTCTTTCTGACTCTGATCAGAAAGTTCATACCAAGAAAAAAACAAACTGAGGGAAGTGGTGGCCACATACTCCAGGAAAACGTTTTTTTTGTTTGTTTTTTTTTTTTTTGCACAAGACAAAACTTCAGTGTTCTATGTCCAACAAGGACGCCAGGAAGGAGCCAGTAGAAGCCGTTAGGACCCGGTGGGTTCGTTACCCGGCAGCCCACGGGCCTTTTACCGGCTCCTGATCCTGGGTGCAGGTGCAATTCCCTCTCACATGCCAGAGGCGCATGTTCGCCTCTATGGTCGCAACTCCATGAAGGAGCATCTTCTCCTCTTCCTGACTCTATGGTTTCGGCGCCGGAAGATGGGCAGTGTATAAAAGGCTCATGCGCGAAGGCGAGGGGACGCCTTTTTCTCTTCAACGCTAGACTAAGGTTCCTGGTGTCACCATGGGCCGCCGTCCAGCTCGCTGTTACCGATATTGTAAGAACAAGCCATATCCAAAATCTCGCTTCTGCAGAGGTGTCCCTGATGCCAAGATCCGCATCTTTGACCTGGGCCGGAAGAAGGCAAAAGTGGATGAATTCCCCCTCTGCGGCCACATGGTGTCTGATGAATACGAGCAGCTCTCTTCTGAAGCCCTGGAGGCCGCTAGAATTTGTGCCAACAAGTACATGGTGAAAAGCTGTGGAAAAGATGGTTTTCACATTCGTGTGCGGCTCCATCCGTTTCATGTCATCCGCATCAACAAGATGCTGTCCTGTGCTGGGGCTGATAGGCTGCAGACGGGAATGCGAGGTGCCTTTGGGAAACCCCAGGGTACAGTGGCGAGAGTTCACATCGGCCAGGTCATCATGTCCATCCGCACCAAGCTTCAGAACAAGGAACATGTGATTGAAGCCTTACGCAGAGCCAAGTTCAAGTTTCCAGGCCGCCAAAAGATCCACATCTCCAAGAAGTGGGGCTTTACCAAGTTTAATGCTGATGAATTTGAAGACAGAGTGACTAAGAAGCGCCTCATTCCCGATGGTTGTGGAGTGAAATATGTCCCTAACCGTGGTCCACTGGACAAGTGGCGAGCTCTGCATTCTTGACATTTTTGAGACATTGCCTCCGTTGACCATCCTGGTCAAATTTATGTTCACCAATAAATTCTGTTTTACTGGCAAAATTATTTATTACTATTAATACTACTTCAAATATTTAAAAAAATATATCTAGGTTTTTAAATACAGACCAGATAAATGTTTATGATAATCCTAGAAAGATTTAACGACAAGTAATATTTAAAGCGAGAATGAAATGTTATACATGAAAAGTGATTAGTAGAGAAAGCTGTGTAATTCTAATGCAAATACTTTAAGAGTTGGGAAATACATAAAAATTTTTATTTGTAGTAAAGTCATATACTATGCAGCTTCAAGTTGAATAAAAAAATAGAGAAAAATCCAAGATTTGTAGGGAACAAGTATCATTTATAAAAAATAGACTTTAAGGGTGAAAATAATGGTAAACATTAAATGATACTCCAACTATAGCCTCTTTGAAATTAAAAAATAGGTTCTTAACCCTGTTGCTTGTGGTTTCTTACACAATTACACAAAATTTCTGCACATTATTTTTAGAAATACCAACTCCAATTATCAGTGTTAGGACAATTGGCATCACTGCAAGAGTTTTCCCAATGCATGCTTTACATTATCTGGCACTCAGAACAGTGTAATCTTCATCACCAAAGGTTACAGGTTCACAACAGAGTTTATATTGCTTTTATCTGAGTCCCAATAGAACCAACATAAAAGAAAAAAAAAATTACACTATATCAGTTATCAGTGATCTAAAAGGACCCCAGCGAGAGTTCACAATCTATAAATGCATGCCCTACATTAGTTGATTACAAAGGTGTATATTTTTTCTTTTTTGCTTTAGAAACTGTAAGTTAAAATTATTGTATCTATACATTTTTAAAAAGATTTTTATTTATGCATACAGAAATGGGGTACAGGCCAGAGGAACGGGTAGTGAGAGGATTCACCAGAGACAGTGTGGGGAGCAGAACAGGCCCATTGATGAAGTACACTGCTGAGAGGAGCAGCAGGCGGGCCAGGAGAGGTCTGCCACATCACCATATGGGTCACCTCTGGGGAGAGGATCGAAGTCATGCTGAAATGGCTTTAGCTTCTTAGTGCCGTGTTTTAACGTGATGCACCACCATGGAGAGACCTATACAACATTTTTAATTCCAGTTCTTTAAATTTAGTTTTTTAAATTAAATTCTGCAAACAGTGTCCTTGGTTTCTTAAATGAACCACTCATTACAAGCAAACATATTGGACAAAAGCAACAAAAAGTATTAAACAAGGTAGAAAAAAAAATCTGTAAAGTTATTTCCATTTACTTAAAAAAAAATTCCTTTGCCAGTCCTAAATGTTTGCATATGACTGGACATTTCTTTTAGACACTTACTATATAACATTTCCTACTTGCATATTTTTTAAGTGAAAAAAGAACAAGAACTAAATAATATGAAGTTACAGAAGGAACTCTGCAGCCTAAAACATTTCCTTACCATGTTTAGGAAATAAATTCTATAAACAAAGGTGTATTGGAGTGAGATGTCATGCTCTATTTACCTTTTACCACACTTGCAAAAACAATGTGCAAAAGAAATCAACACAAATCATTTTTAAATCTATGTTAATATGATTCAGTTTTGAAACTATTTTTCATCTTCATATTCACCCTTCTCTTTGGTTTCAAATTTAGACATATTGACCTGCAAAGTAGGAACTCTAATCATTCATTAAATACTGAAATGCAGCTAAGTATTATCTTATGAATGTTCTTGCCCTAAGAGAATAGACATTAAGATTGTTTTTGCAGATATTTGGATGGAGCAGAAATGAAAGATTAAAAAAATACTGTATAAAAATTTGGTAGGTGTCATAAGGTTTTTTACTTTTCGCTATAATTTTCTATTGAAAATTATTTAACAAAAACAAAAGTCCTATTCTTCAAACCATGATTTTGTTCAGATTTTTTCTATCTTCTGGTCACTTAAAAATTGATAAAAATTAAGCTGCAGTATGTATTTTGTACAGCTCTTCATTTCTAATATGTGTTCAAAATGGAAAACGGGAATATATTGTATATTCATATATTCAGGTATTACCTCAATGAAACATTTTACCTGCTTAAAATAAATACACCCACATTTAACTAAATTCAAGCAAGTATTACATTATAATACTCTTTGATTACTTGATGGAGGCTCTAGATTTTATGGGAGTACTGAGTACTGAGTCAGACGACATTGAAATCTTCAACTGAGCATACACCCTATCAGACTTGAAAAGCACATTCTATAAATGATCATTAGATAATTCACCATTTTATACACTCTGAAATATGGAATGATAATAAACTTGTTTAGTCAGAAATCCCTTCATATTTATAAAAATATACAACAGCTCAGGTGTGAATTGGTCACTAACATTGACAAGCATTTTATTTCCACTTCAACAGATTTGTACTGCCTATCCTGACATAATTCATGTAAGATTTCCTGGCAGTTAATGTGTCCCTATTGACTTAAAGATTTAGTTGAAACATCATTAAATCCCAATCATCCCAATCATCTCCTGTCTAGTAAAGATAGATCATTTGTAATGACTTCATTGTTATCATTAAAAAAAAAAAAAAGAAAAAAAAAACCAAGGTTTCCCTTTTTTTTTGAAACAAATAAAGTAAATAATGAGTAAATTCAAAGTGAATCAAATTACACCATCAATGATAATTCAGAGTGATTATTAAACTGAGGTCAGAGGTCATATTTTTATTGAAGGGTGGATAATAAGGAAAACTGACATCGGATGGTGGGATTTGAATTTCAGTTTCTTCATTTACTTGGGGAAATTACTTAATATTGCTATTCCATCATCTTTTCAATTACAAAGTGGAGTTAAGACATTGAAATTAAAAAGTTGTTTAGGATTGAGATAACAACACGAGAACAGTAACATACCTTGTACATATAAGCATACTTGATAATAATATCATTATTTCAAATTCTTTTTTGACTGTTTCTCAGCTTTGATTTTTGTTATTTGTATAATTATTTTTTTCATGATTTATCACCCTAATATGTTTTTCAGCCATTATTCCCTCCAGTTGTAAAAGAATTTCAACATCTAATTTGATATTCTGATTTGAATTTTTATTTTTGCATCTTTATTTTGTAATTTCAAATTTCATGTAATTCTATTTTGTCATTCTTGGAACTTCCTTTTAAAACTGTAATTGTGCTTTACCAATTATCCTCTACATATGTATCACTTACTGATATTTGCTTTGTTTCCATTATTTCAAACTACATTCTTTTTAATGTCTGACCCACCCTTTCATTCAAAATCTTTCTTTTTCTTCTGCTTTTGTAAACAATGATTATCTGATGATCATGCCATTATTTTTATACTGTTATTGACTGATGTAGACTATTCTACCCAGAACTTTGATTTAAACTGAAAGATTGTAAGTCAATTTCTCTAGTCATCCACTTACATAACTTTTTCTTCATTCATTCCTCTCTATGGATGTCATAGTTTGATAACTGCATGTTATTATTTATCTGCTTACCTGTAGTCTCAGGATGAGAGAGTAGAGAAAATAAAGAGGCTTATGTCTTTTGATAGACGCTGGACTGATTCCCGAGACCCCTGAAATATCATGCACCTAGTCCCACTCCACACAGGCATGCAGTTCACTCTTTTAGCTATGGTACTTTATTGTTATCGTGCTGCTATTCATAGAAAATAGCAAGATTAATAGTTGAGCATCTTTGATATTGGTTGAGACTCCTCGAGCCAATGAATTTTCTCACCATTTTCCCTTCTATAACTACTTACAGGTGTAGTATGTGTCTATATTAGGGTATTAGTGAGACAATTTTTAATCTGATATTTCTCCAGGAATGATTCCAAGAGTTTGGATAGTTTTGTACAATTTTTAATAAATGGATATTATATAATCCACTACCCCTCAAAATATAGAATTAAACCAGAAATGTTTAATTAAAAAGAAAGCCAGCCCTTAGATAGCATATAAGCCTTCATTTTAAGTTCTCTTAAATTTTGACATGCATGATATATACACCTCTTTTTTTTTGCTAGCTTGTAGCCTGTATTTGTCTTGTTATGTTATTCGTTTCACTAGGTATTGAGGAAGGGGATTCTTTTATTGTTTCACTTTAATCAGAACTCCTTTTAATGTCATATTAAAATTATCTACTTCTAAATATTTTATCTTTATTTGCTGCAAAAAAATATGCTTCCTTCTATTGGCAACAGCTTTTAGTGAATCTATGTGAATCTCAAAAGTACTATGTCTATCCAAATGGAGAATTTTTCCTATAAAATCAAAAAGTGTCAGTTTTGTGTGTGTATTCATTTAGCATCTTAACCCCTTCAACCAGCTCACAGTCTGCAGACTTGGGGTTTTTCAGACCTAACTTGCATCATGTGCAGACATTGGTAGGTTCAAGTTTCCATAATCAGCCCCAAGACTGTCTCATCATCTTTTTTACTGCATCATATAATCCTGTTTGTTGCAAATTTCTTTACCCTATGCCTAGGACTGTAGAGACTCTGCTGTTTAATCAGGTCTGGAAAATTCTCATCTATTATTTCTGCAGATATTGTTGTGATGTCACTATTATCTTTCTTGAACTCTGGTTAAAAAAGGTTAGAAAACATTTTGTCTCCCATGTCTCTTTCATGGTTCTATCTCTTTATCTTCTGGAATAGCACTTCAATAATTTTTGCCATGCACTTTTTTGTTCAACCTGTTTAGTTACCTAAATTTAATTTGCTGTTTAGCACAGAGATTTTAATTTATGCAACTGCATTTTTTTATTTTCAGAAGCTATACATAGTTTTTTTTAATAAATATCTTTTGTTTTTCTATTTTATATGATTTATTTTATTTCATACTATTTTATTTACTAATGCATAATTACATTTAATAACTTCAGCATTTTAGATCACATGTGCTCTGAATTTAATGTTCACTTTTGCTTTCACTCCTAATTATAGTTGCT